GCAAAACCCGAAAGTTTCTAATTTTAGTTTAATTCACACCGGCCGTGAAAGCCTTCGTACTTATATTAATTTACCCTGTCCGAAATTGAGTTTGAAGGCAAATAACCAAGTTATTTTTATAGTCTAAGAAAACAATTTAACAGACGGAAAAGTTCGCCGAACAATACGACAACGAGAGAGATAAATGTTTCAGTGAGACTGTAAAACCTGAAGTAGCTCCGAACAGATGTCCGCAGACCAAAAGTAAATGGTTCAGCAGACCGAGAACAAACACGTCCCAATATGATGATATTTTAAAGGGAAGAAAAAGAAATTTTATATCCACAAAACTCTCTATTTGGGATCGGTAAGTGGGTTCAAATACTGACACAAGAACCTATATCACATTGAAACCATGACGATTGATGATCGATTAAAGGGAACGACCTTTTTGTTGGGCAGAAAACGGTAAAGGCATCTCCAAAGCTCCTTTCGGGACCCCTTTATTCCCACAGGGAAAAAAATATTTCCACTGGAAATCAACCTCCTTTCAGCAAAAGATTCTCTTTTCGTTATGGATATCACCTTTCCAAGAAGCGAAATAGATTTTCTAATTTCACATAATACAAAATTTTTTTAAAACTTATTCACTTTCTTAAATCATATAAGGAAGTCATAAACTTAAAAATAAATTATTTTGGAGTACCGACTTGAATTTGCATACAAAGTGGGAAATTAAGTCTCGGAAAAATATAATATTATACCGAGTGATTTAGTTCACTTCAGAGTAAAAAAAAAACGAATTTTTAAGATATAAATAATAAATCATACTTTCAAGATCTTTATACATGCGATTTATAACACATAATTACGTCGGATATAAAATTCGTACCGAATTGAAGCCAGGGTTAATTTACCCATAAAATATATTGCCAAGAGATTATCGTTGACCCTTCTACACGTAACGATCATTAACAACTTTTCAAAGCGAAATTAGTAACAAAGTTGAACTTTTTAATGGACGCTGACCCAAATAGGAAAACTATGAACGTCTAAATCGAAAAAATAGAGTTGCATAGATTTTTGCTTTTATTCTAGACGTTATACAGTATAGATAAAAGCAACCGGAAGGGAGTTTAATAGAGCCCTTTTAGTGCCAGATCTACAACGGGATCTAATAAATCACCAAACGTTCTCCTTTTCTTCCGGGATTAATCCTATCAACTCAACGGTTTTGTCACCCTTCTTTGTGAAAAAACGAAATCTTTTTATTGATTTCCATTAATAAATTAATTGTCACTGAAGACAAAGTAAAGTTTTCAAGATTTTTATTGGAAAAATTTGGCAATAATTTTAATCGTTTTTGTAATATCAAAAAGTAACTGTTGACATTGATTCTTGTTGATATCTGTTTACCAACATTCTTGTTTTCAAGAATTTCAAGTTGTTGAAAATAGTGGTGTTCAACCTATTTATGATATTGCAGATCATAATTTGGTGTTCGTTGATCTCGGGATGCATGGAACATTAAAAAATGTATACCCGAAACTTACATTTCGTGATTTCAAACACCTTAATTCTGACATGTTTTCTGCGGATTTGCTGTCAGTACCCTGGTGCCGGATACTCCAATTTCAGGACATTAATGATAAGGTGGCCTTTTTTGTTGATTCAATTCATAATCTTTTTGATCGTCATGTGCCCTTGCGTACTGTTTCCATCCGTAAAAACTATTGCCCTTGGGTGACTGATAACATCAAGCTCCTTATGAGATTTCGTGATCAGGCTTATAGTAGATTCCGCCAGAGCAGGTGTCCCAATCACTTCCAGTATTATAAACAACTACGTAATTACACTAACTCGGCCATTCTGAGAGAAAAACGGGCGTTTTTAAACACATTGTTTCAGGAGCGATCATCTCGTGATCTTTGGATGAGTTTTAGGAAATTGGGTGTTGTCAAAAATAAGACTCAAGTATTGACTGATACTGGTTTTGATGCTGATACTATTAATAATTTCCTTCTCAGCACTCAAACTAATTCAACGGGAAGTGCTGAGTTGATTAACTTTTATTGGAATAACATACTTCCACAAGTTACAGAAAAACTAACATTTTCTCTTACAAATGAAACTGAAATTTTCAATATTCTATGTGGTATCAAATCAAACTCTGTTGGTATGGATGGCATAAGTGTTAAAATGCTTTTAATGTGTTGTCCTACAATTTTGCCCTTCTTGTGCCATATAATTAACTATTCCATTGAATGTTCTGTGTTCCCTGATATTTGGAAGATCGCCTTGGTGACTCCAATTCCAAGAACCCTAAATCCTCATGAATTGGGCCAATTAGTATATTGCCTATATTTTCCAAGGATTGTGAGAGGGTCATGGCGGTCAGACTTCGCTGCCATCTTGATGACTATAATGTGTTGCCCAGTTGGCTTTCGTCCGGGATTTAGTAACGCTACTGCGCTTCTGGCTGTGACAGATGAAATCTTCAAAGCAATTGACGACAAACGGGTTACTATCTTAACACTTTTGGATTTTTCTAAGGCTTTTGATAGAATACATCATGATACTTTGGTGGTGCGCTCCATTATATAGGTTTATCTTTAGGTTCGATTCATTTAGTACAAAGTTATTTGTCTGGACGAAAGCAGTTGGTTAAACTTAATGGTGGTACATCCAATACCGCAGATGTTATATCGGGTGTCCCACAGGGCTCTATTTTGGGTCCTCTGTTATATCTGATATCTACAATTGGGTTCGCTAATGTTTTGGATCACTGTATGCCATACTTTTATGCTGATGATACTCAACTGCTCTACTCCTTTAAACTGTGTGATATGGAAGACGTTGAAAGCAAAATTAATCATGACTTAGTTAAGGTCGAAGAACTTGCTGGCAAGTTTTGTCTACGGATTAATTCTAGTAAGTCATCGGTTATGGTTTTTGGGGATAGAGCTTCATCCGAGTTTATAAAAACTAACTTGCAATTGGTGATGGGTGGAAGTCGTCTTAGCTTTGGGGAAAATGTAAAAAATTTGGGTATATGTTTCGATGAGCGCCTTCGCTTTGATGGGCATGTTCGGTCCCTTCTACGGCGAGCTTACTCTACATTAAGGTTGCTTTACAACAACAGATACATTTTGAACCAGAACCTTAGAACGCATCTGTGTGATGCCTTGGTGTTGTCCATCTTCAATTACGGTGACGTAATATCTCACTCCTGCCTAGACAGCGCATATCACATACGCTGGCTGGTTGAGCATGACACGGCGAAGGACTCTTCACTGCTTATGTCTCTACCACAAAATTATCTACAAAAAAAATTATGATAAAATTAGATTTCGCACAGATATCCATAATATTAATATTAGGCATAAACATACGCTAACGATACCTCACCACCGCTTAGAAATTTTGAAACGCAGCTTTACGTATTGTATGCCTAACTTATACAATTGGCTACCTGATTTCTTCAAGAGTCTTTCTCTGATTTCCTTTAAGGCAAGGGTTAGGGCTTATTTAAGTGAGCGGCAAGTTAACTTAGCACTCTTCTTCTTTGTTTATTTTGAAATGGTTTCATAGCCGCGGGGAGGATTGGGGGCTGACAGAGATTGAGATTTATATATGTATGCTTGTTATATGTAAGTATGCTTCTTATTGTGTATTTTAAGTTTGTTAATTTTTTTTTGCGCTTATAATCGGCTTGATTTCATTTAAATTTTATTTTTCAATTTTTGTCTTATTATTTTGCTGAGGGTCACCTTGGTCACTTGGTCGACCTGACATGACCCGCATTAATCGGAACTGCCTTTTTATAATTTTTTCTATTTGTACATATATTATATCTTATCCGATTAATAAACATTATTATTATTATTATTCTTACCAACCTTGCTTTCAAAATTACAACATGGATTAATGGAGTAACCTAAAGACTATATGTCATTCTCTCGATTATTCCAACTTCCCCAATAACCTCCATTTCCGTTTCCGCGCTATCACTCAAAACTTAAGGGGTATTGTAATAGTTGTTTGCCTCTGATGATGGTTAATACTGAAACCGGTTAAGGCAATATTTGATCCTAATTATAATTTATGGAATTATATAAAAGAGGATTTCTTTATTTTTTTTACATGTTTCTACATTTTATGGATATTACAAAGAAAGAAGGTTAGATACAACTATGACATTTAATATGTTAATATGACAAATCGAATTTCCCTTGTGGATTTCCCTAGTTGCTAAATTTATACATATTATACAGTAACCTATCGTATAAACTATCAACAGGACGATATTGCGACGACACATTTAATGAGAATAATTGACGAACCATCCCAACACAAACACGCAATACATTTGCGTTTTGGTAATCCCCAGAATCTATCCCAAATTTAATATTCGCTCACTTTAGACCTTAATCTATTCTGTCTAGACTCCCAAATTACTAAATCAATTTCGCGTAGGTGAAAAATTGTACCCATTTAATATTTCAACCTATTCATTTTTAATATTTTTGTCACCTAAACGTAGACAATTTATTCCGGAAATAGTAAAGGTGCACGTTGTCAAATATATTTTCAGTTACACGAGGAGATATTACGAATATATCACGATATCGTAAAATAGAACATTTCATGAAATAGAAGTGAAAAATGTCAAAAGTATCCGTTTGGTAACAAGTCCAAAGCACTTCGGTTAAAGTGTATTTCGGATTTCGAGCTATTGAATACGTTCTAATCTATTTCAACTCATTACTGCCAGTCAATCAACCTGATTAGTGGAGAGCAGGACGTGAGAAGGAGTGCCCTCAATCCCTTTTGATTAATTCATTGCAATAGCCTGCGATGCATCAAATAATCTACCAAATGGTGAATTACTATTCAAAGGTTTCCATCCAACCCAACTTTAACCGTGCAAACATCATTTCGTTAAATCCACTTAGTATAGTCATTTACATGTGATTAATAACGAATTAAAGTAACTCATTTTAGTTCTTTTTTTATTTCAGATAGAAATATTTACTTATCAAGAAGTTGAAGTGGGAACTTGGGATTGTTGGGCTACGTTTTCTGAAAATTGGGGTGAAAGAGCTTACGTAACATGGTAAGTATTACATTCACATCAAATTGATTTTTTTGCAGCTAAAATTACGTTATCTAACTTTTCAATACAATCAATTTTGCACTCTCGCCATCTTTTGGTGATTAGCTGTTTAGCTGTCTTTCAAGACGGCTAAACCCGACTGATTCTAGTTGGAGATCTTGCGTTAGTTCTAGGGATAGTGCTAGTCTAAAACTAGAACTAACACTAGACCGAGAACTAGAAACAGTCGGATTTAGCCGCACGTCTCTCAAGACGGCTAAACCCGAATGATTCTAGTTCTAGGTCTTGTGTTAGTTCTAGTGATAGTGCTAGTGTAAAACTAGAACTAACACTAGACTGAGAACTAGAAACATTTGGGTTTAGCCGCACGTCTCTCAAGACGGCTAAACCCGAATGATTCTAGTTCTAGGTGTTGTGTTAGTTCTAGTGACAGTGCTAGTGTAAAACTAGAACTAACACTGGACCGAGAACTAGAAACATTCGGATTTAGCCGCACGTTTTTCAAGACGGCTAAATCCGAATGATTCTAGTTCTAGGTCTTGTGTTAGTTCTAGTGATAGTGCTAGTGTAAAACTAGACGTCTCTCAAGACACCTAAACCCGAATGATTCTAGTTCTAGGTGTTGTGTTAGTTCTAGTGACAGTGCTAGTGTAAAAGTAGAACTAACACTAGACTGAGAACTAGAAACATTCTGGTTTAGCCATGCGTCTCTCAAGGCGGCTAAACCCGAATGATTCTAATTCTAGGTCTTGTGTTAATTCTAGAGATACTGCTAGTGCAAAACTAGAACTAATACTAGACTAAGAACTAGAAACATTCTGATTTAGCCGCACGTCTCTCAAGACGGCTAAACCCGAATGATTCTAGTTCTAGGTCTTGTGTTAGTTCTAGTGACAGTGTAAAACTAGAACTAACACTAGACTTAGAACTAGAAAGTTTCGGGTTTAGCCGTGCATCTGCAGACATGCGTCTCGATTAGCCATTTCGGTTAGCCATGCATCTCTCATGACGGCTTAACCCGAATGTTTTTAGTTCTAGGTCCAGTGTTAGTTCAGGTTTAGCCGTCTTGAGAGACGCAGGATTAAACCTGAATGTTTCTAGTTCTAAGTCTAGTGTTAGTTGTAGAACTAGTGTTAGTACTAGTTTTAGTTGTCCCGCAAATATCTGAGCTTATAATGCAAATAAGTTAAGTTATGTGGATTTAATACAAAAAAGCAAATAAGTAATAAAATTCGGATAATAAATTTGAAATTAAATAATTTCTAACTAACACCATCTTTGCACGACAATCATCTTTATTAGCAATTATAGACTCACAGTCCGCCGTGTGTAAGCATGTATACTGAAAGGTTAATTAAGCTACCGATGTAGTCTCTATCTTTTTGTAATTTTAATTTTCGCATGAAAAATTGCCCCGAAATTTACGTATAGGTGAACATTTTTATGAATATGTATAAGTTTTTCTCAGTCCGCTCATCAACATACACGGAATTTATTAAATTTATCACTGAAAAGGGAAAAGCGTGCAATCATCTATAAAAATAACAATAAAAATCTAGAACCCGGAAACGAATATCGTTTTTTTTTCTGCTGAAGCGTGAAAAATAGCTTATCTTAGGTCTGCAGGGATATTAACCCTTTTTTTATTTCTCATCTAACCAAAAATAAAATAAGATCAAAATCAAATGTATATAAAGAATTTTTAAAACAAAGCGATCGTCAATATGTAGTTCAGGAAATTGTTGAATAGAACATTTGACACGCTTTACACTCAATGGAACAATTTCTAGAGAGCAATTCCAGGATATCGGTTGTAATTTGTTATGGTTTCACCCCGGCATATCGATTCAATTCGAAAGTTATGTCGAAAGGAATAGATTCTTTTTATTTGGCGATTTATCACAGAACATTTTCAAACCTAATTGTTTCGTTAAATTTATTAATATCCTTTCAACTCTTCTGTGTGCAAACAATTTTAAATATTTAGAATAGATAGAAAATAAATCTTTCAATTCAAACAATAAATTTTAGTCTTAAACTTTACCATTACGCTACTTCAAACACAAAAGAGAAAGATATCCCGAAAAGTTTTAACGTCCAAAATCAGACAATTTATCATTCAAACTTAAAATTAGCCGTACACAAGTTATTATTACTTCGGATTCGAGTTTCAATTTTCCATTTACATCTAAAAATTAGTAGTCATTTATTTTAAAAAAGTTTTATCATTTTATTATAAATTATTTTTCGCCACATTACTGTTAATATCCCGTTAAATGTGTCATTTATAGCATTTTGGAATTAAAGAGATAATAAAAGTTACGATACTGCCGGAAAAGAATAAAATTTTTGCCGCTGTAGCAAATAAATTTGACACAGTTTTTGCTATGTAGTAGAGATTGCATCGAAAATTATTTCTGAACAATCAAACAAAAGAGTCGTCGAGAGTTACCAGTTTGTCAGCACGTGCCACGCCAAATGAAAATACAGTCGAGCAGATGGTTAAAGCACGTGACCCTCACTGTAAAACTTTTCAACCGAACGGAGTTTTCAGAGAAAAGTTACAACTTTTGGAAATAATTTATCATTTTCTAATCATAAGGAAATTAAGATAGATTAATTTGTAAATTTAAATAAACTTAATTTTTCTTTAGCAGTTCTCAAAATTCTCAATTTTAACCTCATTATCCAATGTATCTATTTTTACTCAACTCCCTTAGAATTCAAACCTGTGCCAGCAGTTTTGATAATTCCCAAGATGTATATTAGACTCTGAAATGGACAGACAGTCCATTTTTCCGGAATGATTGTCATTTCAAAAGAAAACAAGCCTTACCCAACATTCTTTCTTGAGTAAACTGACGTTTCAAAAGAGAACTAACCATACTCAACATTCTTATCAGGATGATTGACGTTTCAAAAGAAAATTAACCTTACCCAACATTCTTTTCCGGAATGATTGTCATTTCAAAAGAAAACTAATCTTACTCAACATTCTTTGTTTGGTTGATTTACATTTTAAAAGAAAACTGACCTTACATAACATTCCTTCACGGTATAATTGACATTACAAAACAAAACTAACATTACCCAACATTCTTTCTGAGGTTAATTGTCATTTCAAGAAAAAACTATCCTTATTCAACATTCTTTTCCGGAATGATTGTAATTACAAAACAAAACTAACATTACCCAACATTCTTTCCGAGGTTAATTGTCATTTCAAGAAAAAACTATCCTTACTCAACATTTTTTACATAGATGATTCAAATAACCCTAGATGATTTCAAAAGAAAACTTACCCTAGCCAACATTCTTTCCTGGATAGACTGACAATTCAATAGAAAAGTAACCTTACTCTACATTCTTTACCGGAATGATTGTCATTTCAAAATAAAACTAACCTTACTCAACATTATTTTCTGAGTTAATTAACATTTCAAAAGAAAACTAACATTATCCATTACATTGTAATGAAATGTAACGTTACCCAACATTCTTTCCTGGATAGACTGACATTCCAAAAAATACTAAAATTACTCAATATTCTTTACCAGGATGATTGACGTTTCAAAAGAAAACTAACCTGACCCAACATTCTTTCCGGGGTTAATTGTCCTTTAAAAAAAACTACCCTTATTCAACATTCTTTTCCGGAATGATTGTCATTTCAACAGAATTTCAAAGATAACTAACCTTACTCAACATTCTTTACAGAAATAATTGTCATTTCAAAAGAAAACAAACCTTACCCAACATTCTTTCCTGAGTAGACTGACGTTTCAAAAGAAAACTAACATTACCCATTACATTGTAATGTAATGTAACGTTACCCAACATTCTTTCCTGGATAGATTGATATTCCAATAGGAAACTAACCTTACTCAACATTCTATTCTAGAGTGATTGACATTTCCAAAGAAGACTAACCTTACCCAACATTGTTTCTTGGGTTGATTGATATTTCAAAAGAATACTGGCCTTACTTATAATTTTTTCACTGTATAATTGACATTACAAAAGAAAACTATCCTTACTCAACATTCTATTCTAGAGTGATTGACATTTCATTAGAAAACTATTCTTACTCAACATTCTTTACTTGGATGATTGACGTTTCAAAAGAAAACAAAGCTTATCCAACATTCTTAAAAAAAATTACCCTTACTCAACATTCTTTTCCGGAATGATGGTTATTTCAAAAGATAACTAACCTTACTCAACCTTCTTTTCCGGAATGATTGTCATTTCAAAAGAAAACTAATCTTACTCAACATTCTATTCCAGAGTGATTGACATTTCAAAAGAAAACTATCTTTTTCAGTAGTCAGAAGTCTACGTCTTTAGGAACTGAACAGAAAAGATTGAAACTAGAAGTAGGCTAAATTGAGATCTAAAAGAGAGCAAGGAAGCTGATCACTAAGAAGGAAGACATACATAAATGACAACAAATGGTATACACTGAAAAAAAGGTCACCAGACATAGACTAATATATAAGAAAAAATAGAACAGAAGCTGGAAGGATACAAAATCAACTGAACAGAAAAAATAGAAATGGAGATTGATAATATATGAAAGAGACTGAAGAGAAATTAGAAAAGGATTAGGCTGCGTGGGCAGATAGTAATAGATGAAATAGACTAAGCAAGCTTTGAGACTATTAATAGAAGATAGAAACTGAACAGAAAAAAGAAATAGTGAAAAGAGTCTGTGCAGAAAAGATTCAGAGTGAAAAGGAATTAATACTAGAAGAAAGGACCTGAACAGAGACTGTAAAGACAGGAAAGATGCTGGCAATAGAAGAAAGAGACTGAAAAGAGATTAGAAAGAGAAAATATACAGCAGCGACAGAGAACAGAGAAATTGAAAAAAGGCTGATAATAGATTACGTGGGCTCAGATATTGGAAAGAGTGACAGATAAAAGTGACAATAAAAGAAAGAGACTAAGCAGAAGTTGAAAAAGTAGAAAGCAGTCTATGCAGAGAGGAGGAAGAGTGATAAGAGATAGTAAAGGCAAGAATGAAAGAAATAGAAAAAACAGCCAGAGCAGAGGTTGAAGAAATATGATGAAAACTGAACAGAGAAGAGAAAGACTGAAATAACATTGGTAATAGAAGAAATAAACAAAACAAAGACTAACTGAAGAGTAAAGAAAAAATCTTATTGTATAGTCTCAAGTATTGTAAAACATATTCATGTTATTTTGAGGAAAAGACAAGATAAAGATTATCTTCCGCATACAAGTGAACTCTCTATCTGTGAAAAGCAGTTATTGGGCAAGAAGTGTAAATTGAAATAACGTGGAAGATGTGAATGTTTCTCCGAGTAATCCTTCCCTACCAGCGTTTACAATAAACTAGAAATAAGAGAAATTTAGGATCTTCAAGTTAATGGTTTCTAAATTAAGAAAAAATAAAAACAAAGTTTGATAATGTTAGGTTTTTTAAACATTAACTATCCACAGGCAAATTGGCTGTCTTCAAATAGACAATGTAAACCTTTGAGCTATCAAAGGACGATGTGTAACTTTATGCAGTTGAGTCTCGGGGAAGTTACTTATGCGAAAAGCTCGAATAATTTACTTTCTAAAGCTTGAATTAATTATTTTAACATTTTGTAATTTTCTGAAAATTTTGAAACATATTAGTGATTTCCGGTTTCTCTGTATAATTTCGTAATTGTTGTTGTAATTGTATTTATGTGTGTTATGAACTTTGCTTGTTAAACCACTAAACTTCCCCAACTACAGATTCGAATTTGCGCAATTAAACTTGGTAGGCTGTCGAACAACCCAATTTGTAATATGAAATGTGACAAGGAACTAAATTATAACTTATTATTATTAATTATTTAACAATCATAACAAAGAATTTTACTTAAATAATAGTACTTCATCAATTTCGACAATTATACACCTATAAACTCTTGCCATTAATTTCCTGGTGTTAATGTAAAATCAATGGCACGTGCTGACGATGTACAGCCCGGTTGATTTGTACTGTTTGCATTGTTTCAGGTATAGCATATCTGTCTTCATAGTTCCACTAATAGTACTAATAGTGACGTACACGTCGATTTGTCGTGAAATATGGCAAAGCTCAGTCGGGGAATTAAGTACAAGACCTAGACAAGCATCTACTAGATCTCCGGAAACGAGAGTCCCATTGATTTCAAGGGCTAAAATAAACACCGTCAAGCAAACGATCGCGGTCATAGTAATGTACGTGATTTGTTCCACACCGTTTATCTTTGCACTGTTATGGGCAACATGGGATCCTCATGCAGCAGATATCCCCTTCTTTAAAGGTACGTACCATAACTTAATCAATCATCCATCCAATACCGGTCTAAAGCTCAGACGAGAAATTGATATCCGAAGAGGGAACGACGGTATATCGACGGTTCTTATATTTCTAATGCAAGCATCGACGCTAATATTGATGGATCACGATGGAAAACCATTTGACAAAATCTTTAAAAAGAGACATGATGGAAAAAAGTTAATGGGTAAAATATTTTAGGGCCAGGTGGGGTTCATTAAATAACCAAATTAAATTTATTAGCTGAAAAATGATCCTACAAGTTGAAACATTAACACATAACGTTGTGATAATATCTGAATAAATTTCACCTTTTCCAAGATATTCCGATACCTCGGTACTTATTTCTACAAATTGTAGGTCGACGTTAATAGCGTTATGAAAATAACTGCCAGGAAAAATCGTCCATTTCACCTGCTATATCGATGGAGATTCCGACGTTCATTGCGGAATTGGAAAAGAATTTATGAAAATTATTACCGTATTACCAATACAATTTTCCAGGAAAATAAAAGTCACGCGGGAATAAAAGTTATTCGTAAATTACACCCACATAGTTTCCGGAAAACCTCTCAATTCTTTAAAACTAAACACTTTTTCCATATAAATTTAATATTGTCGTTAGATTAAATACACCATTAAGGCGTGTCCTTTAAGGTACTTCATTTGCAAAGCCTGTAATTTGCTGGATGCAAATTTCAGCAACGCAGCTTTTTTAATAAAATTATAGCACAACAAACTGTTTATCTAGGAAGTTTAAATTTACTTTAAAAATGAATTAACTCCCACTGGTAAAATCAAAAATAAAAACATTGCATGGAAATGGTTCGTTTCAATTTAGTTATCAGCCGGCGAATTTACAATATGAAAGTCAAACATTGCATCCCAACTAATAATATATGTGCACGAATGAAATTAATTGTACAACATTCCAATACCGCGAACGAAAAATAACAAAACTCCAATCGCATCGCGATAAAATATCGCTCGTCATTTTGCAGGAAGCTTATAAATTCAAATTCGATTGACGCGAGGTGATATTGAAAAGCTGCCAAGTGGAAATACCTACACAATACAATACTGAAAATTAAATTCATCATATATCCTAAACGTGAAGTCTGTCCAATTGTTGTCAAAGGTGTATAAATGCGTGGAAGATGATTTATTAGGGGCGTTTATATTTTAGGAAATGCAATAAAAAAATCAAACAAAAAGGATATTGTATTAGAATTTTTATAATGAATTTTTTTAAATCAGTTTTAGATAGTTCTAGAGTGTACGAGGATGTACAATATCATGCACAATATTTTTATTGAATTTTAAAAATTATTTTTATTCTACCACATTTTAGGTTGTTAATGGATAATTTATTTTGTCCACGACTACCTTATAATATATACCTTATGAATGAGTTTTCTAAAACAAAATGGTAGTCATTTTTCACGGAGTGAATAATAGCGGTGAATAATAATCATTATTCACGGGTAGCCATCTTGACCAGACTAATAATAATTATTTGAAACGTTAAAAGTTCAAAAAACGTCAATTTAATTCAATTTTTTAGGAGTTTCTAAATGTTTGACATTAAAAAAACCTAAACAAATTCNCAAACATTGCATCCCAACTAATAATATATGTGCACGAATGAAATTAATTGTACAACATTCCAATACCGCGAACGAAAAATAACAAAACTCCAATCGCATCGCGATAAAATATCGCTCGTCATTTTGCAGGAAGCTTATAAATTCAAATTCGATTGACGCGAGGTGATATTGAAAAGCTGCCAAGTGGAAATACCTACACAATACAATACTGAAAATTAAATTCATCATATATCCTAAACGTGAAGTCTGTCCAATTGTTGTCAAAGGTGTATAAATGCGTGGAAGATGATTTATTAGGGGCGTTTATATTTTAGGAAATGCAATAAAAAAATCAAACAAAAAAGATATTGTATTAGAATTTTTATAATGAATTTTTTTAAATCAGTTTTAGATAGTTCTAGAGTGTACGAGGATGTACAATATCATGTACAATATTTTTATTGAATTTTAAAAATTATTTTTATTCTACCACATTTTAGGTTGTTAATGGATAATTTATTTTTTTAATCTGTTTTTTGTTTTTTGTAAATTATATAACAAATCATTTTATTAAAAACAACTTTTCATGGCACACTTTGTGTGGTGCATGACACACTACAATACTCCCCCTTCCGTGAAAAAGAAATTAATAAGAAGAGGAAGGTAAAACAATGGTACAACTTAAGAAAGTAATATGTTGTAGTAATAAAAAATAACGATTATATGTTAAAATGTACTTTTCTATTCGGGGATGACACATGTTTATCTATTTCCGAATTATTAAATTTAATACTTACACACGAAGCTCTTGACTCGTGGGCGCTCGGCTCAGCCCGTTTAGCCAGCGGCATGTCGGATCTTACAACAGCGCTTGACCTTGAGTGTGCATTTCCCAAGATCACGACTGTACATAAGTACAACCAAGGGACGGAGTGAGTGGTCCAATCAAGTCAATATGTATATATTTTTTTTTTTCTATATTATGCATAGCACAATTGTATAACACCTAGTAAATACATAAATAATTAGTTACTTATTTTTAACACTAAATTAAACTAGATAATATTTTGCAGCTTTTCCCAGTGGTCCAGTGTGCTTTTCCCATAATATAGATAAATATTGTCATATTTTTACCGTTTTAAGACCAAAACACAAAAACGCGCACACTGCGATACGCAGAACACACGTATTGGGTATTATTGTTTTTGTTATAATTCCGCACTATTGCTCGCGTTTGAATCGACTAGGGCACTAGGTCACTAAATCGAACGGCTTCATCCTCTGAAGGCGACGCAGGACATCCTCGTTGTCGAGAAGCTGGATGACCCCGATGTTGGGATGATCATGTATTCTCTTCTCATGTTTACATGCAAATGATGCAATTTCTGATGACACCGATGCTACTTTCAAGTCGCGATGGAGGTCGGTGTTTCTTATATACCAAGGTGCATTCACTATGCACCTTAGTACTTTGTTCTGGAATCTTTGAATCAGACTTGCATTTGTCTTGCAGGTACAACCCCACAGTTGGATTCCGTATGTCCATTTTGGTTTTAATACTTGTTTGTATATTAACAACTTGTTTCTTAGTGATAGCGTTGATTTTCTGCCAATAAGCCAATATAGGTGTCTAAATTTAATATCAAGTTCCTCACGTTTTTTTTTGATATGAGCTTTACATTTGAGTTTTGCATCCAGCGTCATACCAAGATATTTTGCGGTGTCCGCGTAAGGGACTGCATTGCCATTTATGTGTACTGGAACATAGTTTACTTTCTTGTAAATAAAGTTCATGTATGTCGATTAATTTGCATTTAGTTTTATTAGCCATCGTTTGGTCCAGTTTTCTATTGAATTTAATGCCAATTGTAACTTGTTTGCTGTAACTACTTCATTTTCTGCAACAGCCAAGATCGCTGTGTCGTCTGCGAATGTAGCTGTTAAAGTTTCTGGTACCTGAGGAAGGTCGAATGTGTAGAGTAAATACAATGTTGGGCCAAGCACACTTCCTTGAGAAACTCCGGCTCGTATTTCATGTATTGGTGAATAAGCGTTTTCGTATTTTACTCTAAAATATCGATCAGAAAGATATGATTTTAATAGTTGTCTATACGTTGATGGTAGTATTTGGTCTAGTTTGTAATTTAAACCATCTAACCAAGCTTTGTCGAAAGCTTGTGCAACATCCAAAAATACGGCAGAGCAGGCTTTATTTTCTTCCATTGCTATTTCGATAGTATTCGTTATTCTATGCACTTGGTCTATTGTTGCATGTTTATTCCGAAACCCAAATTGATGTGTTGGTATTAGGGCTTTTTCTTCTATGACAGGTTTTAGTCTTTTTAATAGTAATTTTTCAAGCAGTTTTGATAGTAAGGGTAATAATGAGATTGGCCTATATGATGTAACATCTGTGGGGTAATACAGTAACTTTCCATATGCTTGGGAAGTATTTC